GAATGAAGTGTGGAAGCTATATATTATATAATGAAGTGTGGAATCTCTTACTGACTCCTTATGTACAGCTCTTATTCATGTGTTGCCTACTTGCCTACTGAGTACTGGCTAGTGTGGAGATGTGGCAGTGATGTATTTATATGCACCTATACACCTATACAGGTTGTCATGTACATAAACTATGTGGAAGTTTAATATACACCTATCAATATATCATGTGTTGCTTAGTTGCTTACATAATTGCCTTCTGATTAATTTGAACAACCCTTTTTGTACTCTAGTACTCAAACGAGTACAAAGAGTGAACTGGGTTCTTCAGAGTCTGTAGAGAAGTGAAAAAGCAAAGTGCTTTTATCCTTCTGTAAATCAGCTTGCTGATTGTTCCAGACTTACATATTATGGTTATTGTTTGTGAGATATGAACTCTGTGGAAGCTCTTACTGACTGCATATGTACAACTCTTATTCATGTGTTGCGTACTTGCCTTATCTGTGAGGTATTAAGTATTAACAATGTGGAAGCTTAGTATACACATATCAATATATCATGTGTTGCTTACTTGCTTACATTAGATGGACCCTGAAGAATGTGTGACCTTTTCTACATCTGGATCTCAACCTCCTCTGAGTCAAGAAATAGTGGTGGAAAGTCAAATTCCTGAGCCTAACATTACCAATGAGCAGACTGCACCACCTGCTGTTTCTGGACAAAAGAGAAAAGTGGTTGACAAAAGATCTAAGATTTGGGATCACTTTGATGAAATTAAGGATGAAAAGGGTGTGGTTATTAAGGGGAGGTGCATATATTGTGCAAAAATATACTGTTGTCACTCTAAGAAACATGGAACTTCCTCCATCAGAAATCACATGCTTAATTGCATGAAAAACCCCCATGCTAAAGACACTAGACAAGCCCTATTAACCTTCCAGCCTGTACCTCCACAGACAGGTGAACCATCTGGAAAGACTGGGGTCATGGGAACTTGGGTATTTGATCAACAAGCTATTAGGAGAGCTCTAGGTGAAATGCTAATCATTGATGAGCTTCCTTTTAGATTTGTAGACAGGCAAGGTTTTAGGAATTTTGTTGCTGCAGCCTGTCCTAGGTTTCAAATTCCTTCTAGATGGACAATTGCTAGAGACATTTTTCAAATATACCTTGATGAAAAAATGACTCTAAAAAGGAATTTTAGGGAACAAACTCAGAGAGTTAGTATAACTACTGATACATGGACCTCTATTCAGAGGATAAATTACATGTGCATTACTGCTCATTTCATAGATCATCAGTGGAAGCTCCAGAAAAAAATAATTTCCTTTGTTCCTGTCACCTCTCACAAAGGGGAGTACCTTGCTAAAGCCCTAGAGAATTGCTTACTTGATTGGGGTCTGAAAAGTATTTTTACTGTGACTGTTGATAATGCTAGTAGTAATGATACAGTTGTTGGTTTTTTCAAGAAAAAATTAGTAGCCTGGGGTGCTTCTTCCGTAAAAGTAAAGTATGTTCATATGCGTTGCATTGCACACATCTTGAACTTAGCAGTACAAGATGGTCTTAAAGATTCAGACACTTCAGTCATGAGAGTTAGGGAAGCTGTTAAGTATGTTAGGTACTCACCTGCTAGGCTTCAAAAGTTCAAAGATATATCTGATTTGATAGGAGTGGAAGCCAAGAGTGGTCTGCACCTGGATGTTCCAACTAGGTGGAATTCCACTTACCTGATGCTAAAATCTGCAGTTTGTAATGAGAAAGTGTTTGAAGCCTATGAGGAGAATGAATCTGCATATAGTACTGATTTGGGTTCTGACATGCCTGCTGTTTTAGATTGGATTGCTGTTGAATCTTTTGTGACCATTCTAAAACATTTTTATGAAATGACACTAAGAATTTCAGGCTCACTATATGTTACTTCCAATACCTTTTTTTCTGAAATTTCTGACTTGTTCCTTGTCCTCAAAGATATGGTTACCTCTCCAACTGCTTCTGTCAGTGCCATGGGGAGTACTATGAAATCCAAACTAGACAAGTACTGGGGTGATCCTGAAAAGATGAACTATCTAATCTTCTATGCTAATGTCTTAGATCCTAGGGACAAGTTTGAGTATATGCCATTTCAGCTAAATGCTTTATATGGTGATAAAAAAAGGTGCTGCTTTATTTCTAAAAGTGAAGTCAGGTCTAACTGAGTTATTTGTTGATTATGTTTCAAGTTACCCTGACTGTGTTGGTGGAAGTTCTAATACAACTTTTACTTCTGGAGCATCTATGGAGTGTGATAATTCTGAAAATAGGCCTGTGTCCAGGTTTAAGGCTGATCTTAAAAAGAAGAAGCTTGAGAGTGGTCAGGTAGGAGTTAAAAAATCTGAACTTGATATATATTTAGCTGAGTCCATAATTGAGGAAGATGGGGACTTTGATATTCTAAGATGGTGGAAGTTAAATAGTGAAAGGTTTCCTATACTTTCTAAGATGGTTAGGGATGTACTTGGTGTTCCCATTTCCACAGTTGCTTCTGAGTCCACTTTCAGTACAAGTGGTAGGGTTTTGGACTGTTTTAGGAGTTCATTAAGTTGTAAAATTGTGGAAGCCCTTATATGTGCACAAGATTGGTTGAGAATGGCTCACCAACCTATCTCAGTTGAAGAAAACATTGATGAAGTAGAGAGGCTGGAAAAAGGTATAAGTTCAATGTATTTTCATGTATTATTTGCTTATTCTGAAGCTTATTGTTTAAATTTCAAAATTCTAACAATTCTGTTTGTCTGTTATAAAAACAATGGATGGAAATGTTGGTGGTGGAGATGCTGGTCCTACTGGATCCTCTATTGTGCCATTAAGTGTACAATTTCTATATTTATATTGTGCATTTATGCCATTATGTGCTTGGTTTTCCATTTGAATGTGTATGAACATGAATACATGACTCTATGATTTGGCATTAGCTATGATGAAGCTTCCACTCATTACTGCATATAGGGTTTAGGGTTGGTATTGCTCTTTCAGTTCATAAAATGGTAAGTTGCAACTGAAATTGTAGCAAATGCCCCTTATTTCCCCTGTGAATGATAAAAAGCATTCTGAGCTCTATGAAATGCCTGGTTTGTTTCATTATGTGCTTGTTTTTTCATTTGAATGTGTATGAACATGAATACATGACTCTATGATTTGGCATTGGCTATGATGAAGCTTCCACTCATTACTGGTACTGCATATAGGGTTTAGGGTTGATATTGCTCTTTTAGTTCATGAATGGTAACTTGTAAGTTGTAACTGAAATGGTAGGCTATAACAGATGCCCCTTATTTCCCTTGTGAATGATAATAAGCATTCCGAGCTCTATGAAATGTCTGATTTGTGCCATTATATGCTTGTTTTTCCATTTGAATGTGTATGAAACATGAGTACATTGCTATATGATTTGGTGTTGGACCTGCTGCCAATATGAGTATAATGTATTACACTATTATGCGCTTGTTACATTTGAATGAGCATGATTCTGTCATTCTGGAAAGCATGCATATGCTGCCAAGTGCCAACTATCCCTGGACCCTTGTACCTTACTCTGATTTGCAGGTTTTGTGTAAGTATCTCATAATCCCATTAATCCTTTACTCTATCATTTCTATTAATTTTCATTGGCTATGATGAAGCTTCCACACATTACTGAATGTATGGTTTAAGGTTGGTATAGCTCTTTCAGTTCATAACATGTAAGTTTTAACTGAAATTGTAGCAGTTGCCCCTATATTCCTTGTGAAGGATAACAAGCATTCTGAGTCAGTGAATCAATGATTTCTCTGATTTGTTTCATTAACTTATCCTTGTTAAGTTGTTATTGACATATTGTACTACTCTACTACATGTCTATTGCTTTCCGTGTGTTCATTAACTTTCTTATGCAGGTGGAAACTTCAAACTGTGGAAGATAGTTGTGGAACTTCAAAGTCTTCAAGCATTTTTGCATTTTTGTGTACTTGACTAGTTGGAACTTTGTATGTTAATGATTAATGAACTGTGTAATTCAGTAATCTGTATTTTGTAATATGCTAAAACTATTTGTTAAAATTTTGATCCCCCCTACTCTTTACTTTGTAATATTCACATTATTTATGGCCGTATGGGAATCAAATTATGTTTTGCAATTGTAATATTTTAGATTTACTGGTGTTGAAATTACAAATTATTTTGCAATTTCAAATTATTTTAGTTGAAACTTGAAACCGACTAAACCCGATACCCGATCCGAACCCGCCCTACCCGAAATACAATAAAACCCGAAAATATCTAAGTAAAAAAACATAGGGTAGCATATCCATATTACACATCCGAAACCCGAACGGGTATTGGGTTCACCCACCCGCCCGACCCGAACCCGCCCGATGCTCACCCCTAAGTGTAATAACTCTTTTATTTGTACTCTTTTTTTATAAAAAAAAATATATCAAAATATATATCTTTTTATGATTTTTCATGTGACAACAATATGACATATAAAATTTAAAAAATTGAACTTTCATTAGTTGGAGATTTTTAGACCCAAAACTTTTCTTAGCTACATCCATGTGTTAAAACTAATATCTATTGGTTAAAATATTTATTTTACATCTTTCAGTTATTGTTTTTGCAAAAATATGTGCAAAGCAACAACAAAAAAGCTAAACTTAATATTTATTTATTTTTTATATCAGAATGTTTGACATTTTAAACAATAATAATTCACAAAAAAAGAATTTTGGTGAAAATTTGATGTATAAAAATAAAAGTAAGGTTTTAATAAAAAAAGAATTGTTTTGGATGAATATATCGATTGAACTAGATTGCAAGGAAAAAACTGAATTTACCGACTGAATAAGGAATTTGATTTATTGGTAGAATGGTTGCGGTTAGCGTTCAGAATTATATGACAAAGAATTGCTTAGATGGTGTGAGCAAATCGATGTGGCGACCCGCAAGGATAATGAGATGATGCTATGGCAAAAAATGCATGGTTAGAGAAATAAGTTTAGAATTACATTAATTTGAGATATAAGTTTAAATGATACCAAAAAAACAAAGTTCCAAACTTTAAACCTTTTAGGAAAAGGATATTCTTACTTGAATTAAATTTTTTAGATTTGATCTGATAAATCTCTGTTTTCTGAATTTTTTTGAACTGTGCTAAAGGTACCTCACAATGATACCCCTATATTTACCCCATTTCTAATGTGTGACCATAAATGAAACAACTCATTTAAGTGGGGCCTAGCTTAAATGAGTTGCCCCATCTAACTAGGAGTGGTAAAAACAAGGTACCATTTAGGGGTAAGCATTCTACTTTTCTTTTATTCAGCGTCATTTCCCTCCACCGTCGCTTTTGATGCAGATCGACACCGATCCTAGTTCCTGCAATTTCATGATCTAACTTGCCGATCCGGCGATCTGAAGCGATGTCCGATCCCAGCAACAATCCAGATCGTCCTTATAGTTAACGGATTACAACTCGCGGTCTTAATAACATTGGTAGTTTGGTACACAAGAGTCAGAGTTAGATTACAACTCACAATATCCCCAAGTCTACCCACCTTGCCACCGATGGTATTATCCACATTCAGCGAAAGGGGGACAAGCAATTCAAATTCAAAACTATTTGAGAAAGGGTGTTGATCAGGTTGGCAGCAACTATCCGATCAGTGCAGTTAGAGCAGTTTTTTCCCGAGGAAATATACACACATGACAATGTGGTCACTGTCAAGCAGGAATGACATCCGGTTCTATAGAAGAGGAGGACTCATTCTCTCGTCGTCAGCATCTTTGGTTTCACACTCAGATTCCGGCTGAAAACCCTGCTTAAATATGTCATAATGGGTTGAATCGGTTGAATTGAAAGGACGGTCACCAAGTACCTGGACCAAGTCGTCTCGGTGAAGAACCTCCTTCTCTAGCAGTAGCTCAGCGATTTGAGCGACTTGTTCTTTGTGTTCCTCTATCAATTGGACTGTCTTTTTATACGCTATCCCCACCCATTTTTGAACCTCACTATCGATGATTGAAGCCATTTTGTTACTAGGCTTCCTCTTACCGTCACTCTGAGGAAAAGAGAGCAGTCCGACCCTATCGCTGAATCCATGCACAGATACTTGGGCATATGTCATTTCTGTTACTTTTTCCAGGTCATTTTGCGCTCCAGTTGAAATTTTCCCCAATAAAACCTTGAGCCAAAAAAGTGCATGAGTTAAAAGTTACTAGTAAGATTTTAAAGACTGGACTATTCAATTATTGTCCAATTGATGGTATGAGATGGAATTGGAAAAAGTTCAGGGCAACAGTTGCAGCACTTTGCAGACTAAAAGGTACAGAAGATATTTAGCAAGTTGAGAAGAAATAGATACGGAGTATTTAGGAAGTTTGGCATGACTTGTTTTTCAGGGAATAAGTGTTTCTTGACAGAGATAAGTACACTCTGAAAAAAAGTGTTTGGTAGGGAAATGCAAAAATGTGTTTTTAACAGTAAAATGTACTTTTGCAATAGCTTCTAAGAATCACGTTTTGCTTTAAAAAGCTAAATGTAGTGTTCTTAAGTTGGGTTTTCTACTTAGCTTTAAGCACTTTACAGTTGAATGCAGTAAGCTTTTCGCTTTTTAGATAATATTTTAACAAAATAAATAGTAGATAGTACTTCTTTAACACCAACAGCTATTATCAGAAAGCCCTTTTATATAATCTCTAAAATAAATCATGTTTCATATAGTCACATCTCACAAGTCACAAGCATTAGAAAGCACAAACACTCTACCTTAATAAAGCAACGGGTTGGGGCTTTTCTCATAGTAGCCATACTAAAATATGCAAAATGATTACTTACATTGAATTGAATGGAATATTTACCTGCTCTGCAGCCCGGCCACCTAGTGTCATGCATGTCATGTCAAAAAACTGCTCTTTGGTCATCGGGAGGTTCTCATTAGGAACGTATTGAGAAAAGCCAAGTGCCACACTACCACGTGGGGCGATAGTAACCTTTAACAAGGGCTCTGCGTGTTCTAGAAACCACCCAGCAACAGCATGACCAGATTCATGGTATGCAACAGTGAGCCGTTCAAGTTTGCTTCTTACCTGTTGAGATATTGGTATTTAGAAAGGCAAACTCATTTCATCATTTTCATTTACCCCAGTGCCGCAAAGGCTCCCACCTACGGTGGGGTAAGGGGGGGTCGGATGTACGCAGTCTTACCCCTGTACTAAAGCACAGAGAGACTGTTTCCAGATGACCCATAGTGAAAATCGCGTCCAAAATTGCATGGACTGACTGCTGCTCCATAACAAAGAAGCGCAGACAGTTTAGTGAGCCATTTTGCTTTATTCCATCATAATCTCAAGCCAAAAAATAATGAATCTTTGGCTCCATTGCAAATGATGGAAATTAGAAAGGCAAACTGTGAGTGCATAAACCTATATTACATCAATATTATACGAGCTGGTCTCACTTAAGAGTGCCTCAGTGAGAAGGTTATACCAAAGCAATATTGTCATACGTTTTAGCATATCAATTCAAAACTATTACTACCTCGCCCCCAAAATAGTCACAACATTTGACCGAGTGCCAGAAGTCATGAATCCTGCTTATATTTTTTACTTTATTAGTTCACTTACCTAAATTTATGATATGCAACTTACATATGACTAGTTTTTAACAATTGCATGAAAAAATAGCTTTGTTTGATAGAACATGTCAAATACCAGGATTCTTTGAGTCAGGGGAATGAAATATAAATGATAAAGGGATAGGGGCCAATGGAAATTTGGGGAATTTTCCTTCTACTTGATTTCTTCTTAATTTTTTCTTCCATATTTATTAGCACAGCAAAGCTCCCTTTTATACAATAGATTACATGCATAAGAATGCAGAAAACAAGGAAAGGGAAATCCTAGAAAATCACTTCCTAAAATAGACTAAATCATGAAGGTATTAAAATCAAATCATAATAAAATCAATCATGCAAATCAATCAGCTATTAGTCCTCGTTATTCTACTTGAGTGCTCTTCTTATCTTTACATAGTATTATATTGTAGCATGAATCAGAACAAGACTCTTTTTTTACTAAAAGGTGATTGAAACAGGACTTTCCATGGAACTGGGGGAGCCTAAATTTCTCTAAATATCAGTCTCACAAATGCTATAGTCATGGAACATACATATCCAGAATAGAGTACCGAGTGAGGGAAGGAAATTATGGGAAGAGTAAATGCCTTTCTACACATATGACAAAGAACAACATGTCCTGGTTGCTGGAACTTAAGGCACATCATGAAACCATTGAAATGGTAGAGGAGAGAATGTTAACTATTTTAATAAGTGGGGTAGTGTTACTTTTTCTTTTGGAAGGGAAGACCAGGCCAATTTTCTGAAATGATAACAAAAATCTGATAAACACATATGTCTCTGAGGAGTAAGTTACCTTGTTCTTCTTCTCCAGACCACCAATTATCCTATCTATAGCCGCATCAAAGTGTTCCATTTTTACAAGTGTCTGTTCATGTCTTGCTGCAATTAATGCAGCTTCATTGCAAACATTTGCAATATCTGCTCCAGCAAATCCAGGAGTGAGGGCTGCTAGTCTTTGAGAGAAATATGATGGTTCATGATCAAGCTTAATCTTTTGCAGGTAGATTTTAAAGATCTCATCCCGGTCTTTAATATCAGGAGCATCAATGCTGATCTGTCGGTCAAAACGGCCAGGCCTTAGCAAGGCCTTGTCTAAAATATCCGCTCTATTTGTTCCCGCCAGAACAACCACACCAGATGTTGTTCCAAATCCATCCATCTCAACAAGCAGCTGGTTTAAGGTGCTTTCTCGCTCGTCACTGACCTCTGAGGAACCACCACGCCCCCTTGCTCGCCCAATCGCATCAATTTCATCAATAAATATGATGCTAGGTGCACACTGTCTAGCTTCTTGAAACAGGCTTCTAACTCTTGCGGGTCCAACCCCAACATACAACTCTAGAAAGTCAGAACCGGAAATGGATAGGAAAGGCACACCAGATTCACCTGCGGTTGCTTTAGCTAACAGTGTTTTGCCCGTGCCTGGTGGGCCGACTAAGAGAGCGCCTTTTGGAATTGTTGCCCCCAAATCCTCATACTTCTTTGGGTTCTTTAGAAAGTGTACAAATTCCATTATTTCCTGCTTTGCTTCTTCACATCCAGCAACGTCTTTGAAAAATATCTGGGAAAGAGGGTGAGATTGTTATCAAAAATACACAACTAACTTTCACTGTAAGTAAAACCTATGAATAGACATAAACACTAGCCTTTTTTTTTGCATTTTTATCCACTTTAGTGATAGGTGCCTTTGTCATGTTGAATATTGCACTGCGTTTACCAACCATGCCACCACCAGGCCTTTTCAAATGAATTAACAGTGCCGCACCCCAAAGTAAAAATGTAGCCCAGTTTCTCCTCAATTTTTCGTACCAAATCGGGACATTTGTATACAAAACTGGAACAAAATCATGGGGAGCAACCCCTATTTCCTTTTGAGCAGCCTTCATATTTTCTTCAAAAGATTGGATACTTCCAATTTTAAAAAAGAATTGATATTTGAGTTTGCTTTTTTCATCAGCAGATGATCTTTTAAGGTAAACTCTTGCAATTCTTTTGTTAGGGACCTCTATGGCACCCACTAGACCTGCTTGAAGCAGATTGGTTTTGAACTCTTGGAAGCAAATCTGCAAGTTATAACATCCAGTGTTCAAAGGCATGTGTTGATTTTTGGAAAGATAGCATGAAAATAAAGATGCAGAGTTTCATATTTGCATTCAAGTAGAAGACAATAAATGACGATAAGTTAAAATATGTAAGTCCGATAAAAATGGGAGATTATATTTGCAATGCATATGCAGCCATTAAAAAGAACATTTTAAGGTTCAGGAAGTTATTCACAAACTATAGAAAAGGAAAACCCAAAAGGTAGTTATATGCCATTTTGGCATTAAGTATTTGGTAGCATACAACAACTAAACCTTCTGCAATAATCTTGAGGATTTTGATCAAGCAACTAGACAATGTGAATGGAAATATGATAGAAGGGCAGAAAACGAAGACATCTCACGAATTACTGAATCAGCAATAAGCCAATAAGGCATAAGAATAGTAAAATGGGATACAGTCAAGTTTCTCTGATTCACGCTGCATATAGAATAGGCATTAGGTACATGTTCTAGTATATGCTTACTTCATTCTCTTTTCTGGGGGTAAATATCAAGAGAATCATTCCAAGTGCCAATAGAAGGTCGACCATATTCTCATTACTTTCACCACTGTAATCACCTGAATTTGGGTCCTCTGGCAGTATAAGCAAACACAAACAATTTAGCCCAACTGGAAAAGGTAACAGTTCATTGACGGGCTCGCATGAACAGAAAGGTTTAAAAAGCAAATCACCAATAAAACACAACCTTTTGACTGAGATTCCTGCTTATCCTGCTTTGGAATTTCCTTATTCTCTATAGGAACATTGTTGTCACATTCTACCAGCAGAAGAGAAAATTATAAGAAACTACAAGTCGATAAAGCATGTCTACACATATAGAGGGGGGAAACTCGAAAAATTGGCAGATGACTGAGATAAGTCTCACTCTTTTTCTTGGTGACTTCACTTGAGAAAAATCTGCGTAATCTTATGTTTGGGTAAGCATTATCGAGATCAGATAAACACTGCTTCCTTATAAACCCCTCATTCGTTGTGATTGCAGCTAAATAACCCCTCAAAAGCCCTAATTGTCCCGCAAGCAAACTATTACTTTCACCACAATTTATATCAGGAGCTTCAAAAATTTCCTTGTTTCGATTCGCTAGCTTCCCACTATAAACACCGCTCGTCGCATTCTGAAATCCAGAGAAAATAACAGCAGTATTGTCGGGTAACAAACCTGATACATACATACTCGTTTGCAGTCATAAATACATGAACGTAGAGTACGTTTAAGAGAACTTACTCTGCAACGAGAAAATCGAGACGATGAACGGGAAAACCTAGAGAAGATCATGGCAGGATGGAAAGGGGGAAGATGGTCGAATCACTCTGAACGTTGTTCTAAATTTCGACTATGCCACTGTATCTATGAGTGGCAAAAGATTTTTGTTACCGTTCAGAACTTCCCCCCATAAAAGGAATCGGCTATAACTGCATGACACAACTTCCAAACTGCGAGGTGGCCCATCCAATCACATCATTTACTCTTTAATACCACTTCTCCCTTAAAACTTGACCACAATGACTTGCATGTAGATTACGGAATATTACAAATAAAAAAAAAATTGTGATCAAAATTTATGCAAAGCAGAGAAAAATATTATTAGCTATATATTCTTAACTTAAATACAATTAAATGAAAATGACAAAATTTTTTGAAAAAAAAAATTAAAAAAAAAATTGGTCAAGTTTTATGGGAGAGAAGGAGTATGAGTAAAGAAGGATTCTGACTTGAAAGTCTTGCAAAATTCTAAATAAACATCGTTGTTTAACTGCCTTTTACATTGCAACGGTTATTCAATACCCCTTTTCCTTTTGGGGTTGTTCCAAAAAATTCTTCCCACTTGTCTTTTTTGGACAATTTATGTGACTCACATTCATTTTAACTTTTTCTTACACAACTACAATCATACATTTCCACTTTATTCCACTTTCTTAATAAGCATGACAAGTCAAACCGGGAAGTATTTTTTGAGACGGAGGTAGTACTTTTTTTACAATTTTCAAACTGCCATCAAGAGGCACCAACCGTTCATTAAGGTTATTAGATTCATTATTATATGAAAACAATTTGCGCTAATACACTTGCACGCGAGTTACTATACTTTGCTTGAGATTCACTATTGTTTAAGTCTATTGAATGTTGCTGATGATCAACACTTTCAGAATTTAACAAATGTGGGTTTCTTGTCATTGAAAAATAAAACTTACGCTCATGCATGCCAACAAAGTGTTTGGTAAAAAAACCTCAAACGAAATTCCTACCATTTATACAATAACTATTAGCAAATTTCACATCCTTAGTTTATATTAACATTACTTATACGAAAACAATAGTCTTAGAATGATATCATAGGTATTTTTAAAATAATTCACATTTACGAAGTCATTCATGAAAAATACAAAATAATCATAGGCTTAAGCACATTTTAATCCCTCCAAATTTGTTTTTCGTCTTGTAATATGCACTGTTTTAGTTTTAGTCCATATCTAATTCCGATAACAATCTACTTAAAAAAAGTTATTATTAGTTGCATAAATCTATTAGAAATATTTAAATTTGTCCTTTTATAATTTTTTTTCGAGGCTAATATCAAAACTAAAACAATATAAAACCAAGTATTTACATTTCAAAAATAAATACTAAAATCATTCTAAAAATAAATTAAATACTTTTTAATAACATAACAAAGAGCTAGTTTGAGCTAGGAAATCTATAAGTCGGGGTTGTTTTGAGATTAAACGGAGGTTGTTATCATCGTGATGAACTAAAAAGAAACCAACATAAATTGTAGGGACGAAAAAAAAAGCTCACTCTTTCACAGTTTGAGGTATTTAAATTATTTTTTCTTTTAAGAAATGACAATTCATACGGAGTAGTATACGCTGCATATTTGATAACTCCTCACCAAATGTCACTAACAAGGAGGGTATCAGACTATGATCGACCATAACTAACTAATTCAACAAAACTATGCTTGTTAAGTTGGAGTATTGTAACAAGTGTGTAATGCATATATGGTCATCGGCATCATTTTTTTTCTTCTGCTTCGCACTATATATGCTCAAGAGGATCATATTTAGCTTGTTGAAGACAGACATTAGAAGTTTTACTTCATTTACCTAAACATAGTAACTATAACTTTCAAAAGCAGTATTTTATTTTTTTCGAAAAATAAGTATATATAATTATGAACTAAACATTGTAACTATATAACTTTAAAAATTTTCAAAAGATAGGAATATCAATATGAAATTATATATTATTATCCTTGATGGTCATGTTATATTTGTTCAGCTTACCGTAAACCATTATCTCACCAAACTTCATATTTCAAACTACTAATGATATTTAACATCATTGACAAATGCCCCAGACTCCCTGAGTATTTTTTTTAAGTGCAAGTTATTTGGATCAAGGAGTAAAGACTAAAGTGCAAGTAATCCCAGAGTTGTTTAAATGACAATCAATCGGTGGATGGAATGTAGAGAGAATTGACGCTCTTGAGCATTAATTCATTAAAGCTTTTCAAAGGTAAGAAACTTGTTACAACTACAGCATAATGATTTGAAACTTGAAAGAAAGCAAATGACAAGGAGACTAAAGATTGAGCAAATCTATTTTAAAAAACATGGCAAGAGTGCATAGTCCATCCATGCAATTTTCGACATAATGTTTATCATGAGTCATTCAGGAAACAATCTTTTTGTACTTTAGTACAATGGTAAAACTACATACACCTGAACTCCTTAGCCCACCGTAGATGGGAACTTTTGCAGCACGACATAGTGTTGTTGTGGCAAGAGTGCATAGTCATAACAAAATGAATAGCATGTCATTGAGTAAAGCACCCAAGGGAACGATACAAGATACACACATACTAGTGAAAAAAACACGGCAAACGGAATCTAGAAGTATCAAGCATGTATTTCAACAAAGTATAATGTACACGAGTCATAGTTAGATTACAATTCACAATATCCCCAAGTCTATCCACCTTTCTACCATTGGGATTATCCACATTTATTGATTGGGGAAACATAATTTAAATTCATAATCCCTAAGCGGCAAGAAACAACAACCTTATCAAAACTACTCGAGAATGGGTGTTGATCAGGTTGGCAGCAACTAGCAGTCAATCAGTGAAGTTAGAACAGTTTTTTTTCAAGAAATATACACACATATAACAATGGAAACACTGTCAAGCAGGAATGACATCTGGTTCTATAGGAGAGGAGGACTCGTTCTCCTCATCAGCACCTTTGGTTTCACTCTCAGATTCCGGCTGAAAACCCTGCTTAAATATGTCATAATGGGTTGACTCGGTTGACTTGAAGGGACGGTCACCAAGTACCTGGACCAAGTCGTCTTGGTGAAGAACCTCCTTCTCTAGCAATAGCTCAGCGATTTGAGCCACTTGTTCTTTGTGTTCCTCTATCAATTGGACTGTCTTTTTATACGCTATTCCCACCCATTCTCGAACCTCACTATCGATGATTGAAGCCATTTTGTTACTGTAAGGCTTCCCCATACCCTCACCCTGAGGAAAAGAGAGCAGCCCGACCTTATCGCTGAATCCATATACAGATACTTGGGCATATGTCATTTTTGTTACTTTTTCCAAGTCATTTTGCGCACCAGTTGAAATTTTCCCCAATAAAACCTTGAGCCAAAGAAAGTGCACGAGTTATAAGTTAAGATGATAAAGAATTTGGACTATTGAATTATTGTCCAATTGATGGTATGAGATGGTATTTGAAAAAGTTCAAGGAAACAGTTGGAGACTACAAGGTACGGATATTTAGCAAGTTGAGAAGAATTAGATACTATGTATTTAGTAAGTTTGAAAGGAAGTGTTTTTCAAGGAATAAGTGTTTTTTGACAAAGCTTGGTACTCCAAAAAGAAGCCTTTGCTAGGAGAATGCAATAAGTGCTTTTAACAGTAAAAAGTACTTTTGATGCCTGTTTAATGAGTGTTTGCAATAGCTTCTAAGAATCACTTTGCTTTAAAAAGATAAACGTAGTGTTCTTAAGTTGGGTTTTCTGCTTAGCTTTAAGAACTTAGGATGTTTTCTTTTGGACTAACATTTGCTGGTCTGGTCTGGTAAATGTCTAGTCTCTAGTCTCTGTATTTTATAATTGTCCAAGTCTGGTCTGGTCTGTTTAAGTCTAGTCTGGTCTAGTCTGGAACTGAAACCAGTCCAAAAGAAAACATCCTTAATTGTAGTAAGCTTTTTGCTTTTTATATAATATTTTACAAATTTTCCATCATTTGCAATGGAGCCAAAGAATCACTTTTTTGGCTTAGGAATATGATGGAATAAAGCAAAATGGTTCACTAAACTGTCTACGCTTCGTTGTTATGAAGGAGCAATTAGTTCATGCAATTTTCGACGCGATTTTCACTATGGGTCATACGGAAACAGTCTCTATGTCCTTTAGTGCAGGGGAAAGACTGCGTCATCTGATCCTCTACCCCACCATAGGTGAGAGCCTTTGTCGCACAAGGGTAATGATGATGATGATATAATAATTTACGAAAATAAATGAGTACTTTTTTAACACTAACAGCTTTAATTAACAGTAGCACGTTTTATATAATCACTAAAATAAATCACTTTTTATATTATCACTTCTATGAAGCATTAGAAAGAGCACAAACACTCTACCATAATAAATCAAAAGGTTGGAGCTTTTCACATATACAATTTACATGCTTAAATAGATAAAAATATCGCACAAGAAGCGTTATCCCGAACAGTATCATAGTAGCTATGCTAAAATATGCAAAATGATTACTTACATTGAATTAAATGGAATATTTACCTGCTCTGCGGCCCGGCCACCTAGTGTCATGCATGTGATGTCAAAAAGCTGCTCTTTGGTCATGAGAAGGTTCTCATTAGGAACATATTGGGCAAAGCCAAGTGCCGCACTACCACGGGGAACGATAGTAACCTTTAACAAAGGCTCTGCGTGTTCTAGAAACCACCCAGCAACAGCATGACCAGATTCATGGTATGCAACAGTTTGCCGTTCAAGTTTGCTTATTACCTGTTGAGATATTGGTATTCATTGAATCATTATTCATATTATTATATTTAGAAAGGCAGACTTAGTGTGCATAAACCTATATTATATCAATATAATACGACCTGGTCTCCCTTGAGAGTGCCTCACAGTGAAAAGGTTATACCAAAGCAAAATTGTCATACTTTTTAGCATATCAATTCAAAACTATTAGTACCTCGTCCCCCAAAATAGAGTCACATTGACCAAGTGCCATAAAACATGAATCCTGCTTATATTTTTATTCTATTTGTTCGCATAACTAAATTTATGATACGCAGCTTACCTATGACTATTTTGTTAACCATTGCATGAAAAATTAGCTATGTTTGATAAAAACAAGACTCATTTTTTAGTAAAAGGTGATTGAAACATGACTTTTCTTGGAACTGAGGGAGCATAAATTTCTCTAAATATCAGTCTCGTAAATGCTTTAGTAATGGAATACATACATATCCAGAGTAGATGACCAAGTGAGAGAAGGAAATCATGAAGAGTAAATGCCTATGTACACATGATAACAGAACAGCGTGTCTTGGTTGCTTGAACTTAATGCACATCATGAAACCATTGACATGGTAGGGGAGAGAATATTAACTATTTTAGTAAGTGGGGTAGTTATACTTTTTCTTTTGGAAGGGAGGACCAGGCCAATATTCTGAAATGATGATAAAAATCTGATATACTCATGTCATTGAAGAGTGAGTTACCTTATTCTTCTTCTCCAGACCACCAATTATCCTATCTATAGCCGCATCAAAATGTTCCATCTTTACAAGTCTTTGTTCATGCCTCGCTGCAATTAAAGCAGCTTCATTGCAAACATTTGCAATATCTGCCCCAGCAAATCCAGGAGTGAGGGCTGCTAGTCGTTGAGAGAAATATGATGGTTCATGATCGAGCTTAATCTTTTGCAAGTAGATTTTAAAGATCTCATCCCGGCCTTTAAAATCAGGTGCATCTATGCTGATCTGTCGGTCAAAACGGCCAGGCCTTAGCAAGGCATTGTCTAAAATATCCGCTCTATTTGTTCCCGCCAGAACAACCACACCAGATGTTGTTCCAAATCCATCCATCTCAACAAGAAGCTGATTTAAGGTGCTTTCTCGCTCGTCATTGCCACCGGAGAAACCACCACGCCCTCTTGCTCGCCCAATCGCATCAATTTCATCAATAAATATGATGCTAGGTGCACACTGCCTAGCTTCTTGAAACAGGCTTCTAACTCTTGCTGGTCCAACCCCAACAAACATTTCCAGAAAGTCAGAACCGGAAATGGATAGGAAAGGCACACCAGATTCACCTGCGGTTGCTTTAGCTAACAGTGTTTTGCCCGTGCCTGGTGGGCCCACTAAGAGAGCGCCTTTTGGAATTGTTGCCCCCAAATCCTCATACTTCTTTGGGTTCTTTAAAAAGTGTACAAATTCCATTATTTCCTGTTTTGCTTCTTCACATCCAGCGACGTCTTTGAAAAATATCTGGAAAAAAAGGTGGGATTGTTTACAAAATACACAACTAAGTTTCATAGTAAGTAAAACTTATAAATAAACATAAATACTAGCCTTGTTTTTTGCATTTTTATCCACTTTAGTGATTGGTGCCTTTCCCATGTTGAATATTCCACCGCTAGCTTTACCACCCATACCTCCAAGACCCATGCCGCCACCTTGCATTTTTGAACGAATAAACAATGCCACACCCAAAAGTAAAAATGTTGCCCAATATCTCATCAATTCTTGGAGCCAACTCATTTCATATGTATACAAAACTGGAACAAAATCATGAGGATCAACCCCTATTGCCTTTTGAGCATCCTCCAGCTTTTCTTCAAAAGATTGGACACTTGCAATATTAAAAAAGAATTGATATTTGGATTTATTTTTTCCATCAGCAGATGTGCTTTTGACATCTAGTCCCTCAAAAGAACCATCTCCCATGTGATTCTGTGGTGAGCTTTTAACGTAAACTTTTGCAATTCTTTTGTTAGAGACAACTATGTGGTCCACTAGACCAGCTTCAAGTAGCTTGGTTTTGAACTCTTGGAAACTAATCTGCAAGTTATAACATTCAGTGCTCAAAGGCCTGTGTTGATTTTTGGAAAGAGAGCATGAAAATAAAGGTGCAGAGTTTCATATTTGCATTCAAGTAGAAGAGAATAAATGGCAATAAGTTAAAATATGTAAGTCCAATAGAAACGGAAGATTATATTCACAATGGATATGCAGCCCTTTAAAAATAACATTTGGAGGTTCAGCAAGTTATTCAAACACTAAACCTTTAAAAAAAAGGAATACCCAAAAGTTAGTTATCTGCCCTTATGGGATTTAGTATTTGGTAGCATACGACAACTAAACCTTCTGCAATAATCTTGCAGATACCGATCAAGCAAATAAGCAATGTGAATGGAAATATGCTAAAAGGGCAGAAAATGAAGACATTTCATGAATTACTGAATCAGCAATAAGGAATAAGACATATTTCCTCCGTCCTTTATAACTTTGCCAACTTTCCTTTTTTGGATGTCCCAAAAACTTTGCCACTCTCCCTTTTAATTAATCAATTTGTGACTCCTGTTATTTCTCTCTCCTCTCTCTCCTCTGCACAAATCTCTACCACACAATTTTTACTTTATTATTCTAAGTACCAGTCAAACTTGGCAAACCTTTAAGGGACGGAGGGAATAGCAAAATGTGATACATCCAAGTTTCTCTGATTTATTCTGCATATAGAATAGGCATCAAGTACATGTTCTAGTATATGCTCACTTCCTTCTCTTCTCTAGGAGTAAATGTCAAGAGAGCCATTCCAAGTGCCAATAGGGGGACGACCATATTCTGGGAGAGCTTCTTGAGTATTTCCTGAAAGCCACTGTAATCACCTGAATTCGGGTCCTCTGGCAGTAAAAGCAAACACATAAACAATTTAGAGTCACGATCCAACTGAAAAGGTTACAGTTCATTAAAGGGCACACATGAACAGAGAGGTTTAAAAAGCATATCACCCATAAAACACAACCTTTTGATTGCTTATCCTGCTTATCCTGCTTTGGAATTTCCTTATTCTGTTTAGGAACAAAGTTATCATATTCTGCCAGCAGAAGAGAAAATTATAAAAAACTACAAGTCAGTAAAGCCTATCTGTACATATGGAGGACTTGAAAAATTGGCAGACAACTGAGACAAGTCTTACTCTTTTTCTTGGGGTCTTCACTTGAGAAAAATCTGCGCAATCTTAGGCTTGGGTAAGCAATATCGAGATCAGATAAACACTGCTTCCTTATAAACCCCTTCTTCGTTCTAATTGCAGCTAAATAGCCCCTCAAAATCCCTAATTGTCCCGCAAGCAAACTATTACTTGCACCACAATTTATATCAGGAGCTACAAAAATTTCCTTGTTTGGATTCGCTAGCTTCCTACTATAAACCCCACTTATGGCATTCTGAAATCCAGAGAAAATAACAGAATTATAATCAGGGAAAACCCCCGATATACCTACCTACTCGTTTGCAGTCATAAATACATGAAGGTAGAGTAAATTATTAAAGAGAACTTACTCTGCAACGAGAAAATCGAGACGATGAACGGGAGAACCTAGAGAAGATCATGGTAGGATGGAAAGGCGGAAGATGGTTGAATCACTCTGAACGCTGTTTTAAGTTTCAACTTTTTTTTTGAACCGGTTTTTTAAGTTTCAACTGAATCCACAGAATTTACTCCGTATTTTTTTTGAAAGATACTCCGTATTTTTTAATTTATTGAAGAGGAACGAATAAGAAGTACACAGCTACAAAATACGGGCTTTTAGATGGGAATCGTGAGCTCTTTTCGATAGTAGTGTCTCCTAATCATTCATTCCTAATGACATTTCTAATTTTCTACGCATTTATGTACATATATTTTGTAGACGTCGAGTAGGCGGCAGCCCATAGGTGGGCATGATTCTTTGACTCATATTTGTTCGTATGCGGACAATGGGGAACTCCAGATTCACAACACACCCTCACATCGGGAGAGTCATGCGGATAATGTGTTATAAATGGGTTGTGAATATTATCCGTTTTGGTACTTCATGACCTCATGTCTTTAAAACGCGTTCACGAGTAAGGGTTTCAGGCCATGCTTATAAACGTGTGTGCACTATCTCGTATGTGAGTGATGTGTGAACTTCAGATTCACAACACACCCTCTCATTACGATCATCATGTTGATAACGTGTTTTGAATCCAAACTCAAAAGTATTCATTCATTAGTACTAATCAAGGAAAAGAGTGCATAATATATGTACAACGATGTGTTATATTGACCGTCTCATTAAGAAAAGGGGAAATTTCACTTTGCATCTCACATTTTGGATAATATTGGTGATGGATAGTGTACCCGGGGGGTAGCTTATCCGAGGGTTTACTGCGGGGAGTAGCTTAGAGAGAAGTCAGAACAAGTAAGAGAGAGAAAGTATATTGAGTTGAGGCGTTCAAGCGTGGTTTACAACGGGGAAATGGGGTGCTATTTATAGTAGCAATAAATGCAAGACAGGGACACGTGTCAAGCATCCGACGGCCGAGGGGTCGCATCAATCGGGGTGGCACTGGCGCTCCCATGTGGCCGCATTTAATGCGGCTGTTGGATGCGACGTCGTACTTGGTACGACGATCCAGATGCGCGTGGAGAGGAGATCTTGTCGAGTGAGGTGCCCTCAGCTATAGAGCAGTAGCCGAAGGCTCCTCAAGCCGAGGGCACCCTGGTGCCGAGGGCTCCTGGTGCCGAGGGCTACTGTTTTCGCCGTTTTCTCCCAGTTTCTTTGTTTGCCTGAAGTCGCCGTTCTGTGAGAGTTTTGAGCCCTCGGCCAGCGTGCATTTATGGGCTGCTTGTCATTTGGGGCGATGTGATTCGGGCCTGTTGAGCTTCCTGGGCCGGTTGGGCTTTTATTGGTGTAGTAGTAGTCTGTGGGCCGGGGATTCCCGGGCCATATACTCCATCAATTGGACTTTACACCTCATTTTAAAAAAACTTTGATTTTGCACCTCATTTCACTTCAAAATCCTTTGACTTTGCACCCCATTTTGAAATTTTCCTTGACAAATGTTATTTGATAGGGTGCAAAGTCAAAGGTTTTTAAAAATGGGGTGCAAAGTCCAATATCACCCAAAAAATGAGGTGCAAAGTCAAATTCTCCCTTAAGAAAATCTTTAAATCTACCCAAACTATGAGTTGATAAATATCCTTAATATACAAATCTCAAAAGTTATTTGAGCAAAAGTATAATAGACCAGAGCCACCCAACTCTTCATGAGTATATAAGTGTAAATTCATGATTGTGAAATATGTATTTCAAAACCACCAAACTTAGTGTTAGTAACATTCTACATATCAAATCATTGTTCTAAAAATCAGTCTAGGCGTTCGACTAGTCCTCGCCTAGGCACTAGGCAGTGGGCCGGACGTCCCGATTTTAGTTTAGGCGCTCCGACTAATTGGTTTGGCACCTAGGTGAATTAGCTATCCGCCCAGGGTGACTAGTTGCCCACCCATAGCGCTTAATCGGTCGCCTAGGGTGTTTAGATTCGTCGAACATTTTCTTTCGCTTTTATATTTCAGTTTCCTAAAAGATATATGTACCTTTAACTCTTTAACTTTAACAATGCATATAAAAAAAGCTATTAGTTGTAGATTAATATGAAAACTATATGTGTCGACAATTATGCAGGTTATCCTTTGGTGTAAGCAGACCGGCAAAGATGACTTTCAATTGGAATCTGAATATGAAATCATATGTAAAGCTCTCTATCGGAAGGATGTGAAAGGGGGTCATGAAATGCTTTTGGCAAACATCCGCGTGGAACTGGAACATCTGCGCATTCGGACTGTTCATTGTTATCGGGAGATGAATCAAGTTGCTCAGGAAGGATTACATGCGAATCGCTCAGTTTATTCATATCAACTAGTGAACTTTCTAATTCCGTCCAAGCTCTTCTTCAATTAGATGTAGATGGCATCCCTTACTTGCTATCCTAGTTATTTCTTTATTTATAGAGTATTGTTTTTCTTTAATGTATGTTTTCACCAGCTGTTATTTCTTTTCTTAGCTTTAATGTATTTGGTTGGAGGTATGTCTCCGTGAGAGGTTTTGATCTATGCTCCCCTCTCTTTTTGTACCTTTTTTTATTTTTAATAAAATACTGGCAGATGTTCCCCGAGAAAAAATAAAAAAATAAAAAACAATAAAAACTATGTGTTGGTATATAATCTTAAATGATGTTATTATTTAATAATATTTATTACCAGGGGCGGACCCAGGAAAGTCATCTTGGGGGGACGAAAATATTTTTTGAGAGGTTCAAAATATTTTTTCGGAGGGAGAAAATTATTTTTCATATATATATATATATATATACATACACACAAAAAAAACTTGTTGTGGGGGCGGTAACCCCCCTAGGTTTGTACTACGGTCCGCCCCTGTCTATTACATAATAAAGTTAAATGAGTAGGTATAATATAATATCAAATGTGATAACTCTGTCATTCATGCATGTTAATGTGTATGAATGTGTATATATTTTTTACACACACACAAACACAAAACATGTAACACCGTCCCCAATTGTGTTTACTTTTATGTAAATCATGTATTGAACCTTATGAAAGGATTAATGAATTTACGAGGTTGTAAATTTTGTTGTTACTTTTGCGTGAATAGTAAATTGCACGTGGGGCCCATATCGGGAGCGGGGACCATCCTATATTTCCGAAACCACATATTATATTCCTCTTGGGATAGATAATATGTATATGGTGGTGTATATCTTAATTGGACCATAGAAAGGGCATAGGGTTGATCGGATGGTCAAACAAGGCTCAATTGCCGGTATTGGTAATTTATCGGATAATAGTCCGAAATGGGTTTCGGAGACTTCTAAATTAAAGTTGAGGAATGTATAGTCATTCTAAGGACCCATATGGGTTGGGAACGTGTGATATATTTTATTTGGCCCGATAAAATAAGAATATAATTAAAACAGTCTGAGAAATACAACTTTTGGGGCTGACTGTACACATCAGGACACAAAGGGATGACCTCCCACATGAGTGGGGGCCACTCCACGTTTTTGTGTGCTCAAAGTCAATTTGAGACAACTAATTATGCTAGGAAGGAGGGCTATGTACTGTGGATTTGAGAGGAGGGTGAGAATGGACATGAGGTGGACCTTACACCCACACTCATTGGGCTATTGAGACAAAAGGATTATGTGCAACCCCTCTCTCACTCAATTTTGAACAAGCAACCTCCAAGCAAGAGAGATAAGCTCTGCAAATAATATCCTCTATAGCCAAGTGAGCTCAAGAAGTCAAGGTTCAAGGAAGAAGATTTAAGAAGGGAAAAGTAAGGAAAAAGAGTGGTGATTAAGGTAATGACCTTATAATAAATTTTCTTCTACTCTTTAACTACCATATGGATTATACATCATATGAGGAGACCCTAGGATTATTCTACACATTTAGAAGTGTAGAATGAAGTGTTGGAAGGTAGTTCTAGGTCCAAGAACGGACTTAGAAGCCAAAGTGACCGGTTCGCCGGAAAATAACCTTTTAGAGGTTATTTGTATTGATATGGGTTTTGTGATGATAAAAACTTGTTAGGAACTTGTCTAAGGTGTTCCTAGTACTTTCACGGAGTTGATAAAGTCGCCGGAGTAATCGTCGGAGCTAGACAAAGTTCGCCGGAGTTTAGCCGGAGTTCAACCGAGAAGGGTAGAACTTCATAAAGCTCATTCGAGGTGAGTGGATGGCTTAATGTCTTGTAACTCTTGGGTTAAGTATAGGATTACCTAAAGAAATGTTATAAGTATTCATAATGATGTTTAAAGGAACTTAAGCATGTGCTTAGTCAAAGTTATTTGGCTTATGTGAATGATACTACATGATTTTGCTTGTGAAAAGTATAAAATGTGTATAAAAACATATGTGATGTTTTGGATGGTTAAAATGGGATATTTGGGTTGTTTAAGACCCAATACATGTTATATAAAAGTTTCGGATCGATCGGAGATCATCCAGGGAGTCAACGGACCGCCGTCGTTGGGCAGACGGTAACCCGGCGCCGGCCATAGGGCTGAACCGGCGCCGGTTAAGCTACTGCCCAGCCGGTCTTGGAATTTTTACACAGACCCGGCGCCGGTTATAGGGGTAACCAGCGCTGGTTAAGCTGCCGCCCCGAATTTTCGATTCGCCAAAAATGCGTATCGAGGACCGGTTTGAGGGGGGATCAACCCTGACCATCCTATGTAAGTATATTGTGCATGGAATTGCATGTAATATGATATTTAGTTGCCAAGTTTGATATCTATTGATCAAGCTCTAAGGTTTGGTTTAGTCTTGATAAATAATTATGATATAGACCCTATCTAGATTGATACGAGGTAGATCATAGGAATACATATGGTGGAGGACCCAAGGACTAAAGAGTCCTTAAAACTTATATGCATATGGTGGAGAACCCAAGGACTAAAGAGTCCTCAAAACCCGGAATATATATTTCGGTGGAGAACCCAAGGATTAAAGAGTCCTCAAAACTTATATGCATATGGTGGAGAACCCAGGGACTAAAGAGTCCTCAAAACTCATATGTACATCGGTGGAGGACCCAAGGGCTAAAGAGTCCTCAAAACTCATGGTGGAGGACCCAATGACTGTAATGTCCTCAAAACTCATAGGTAAAACAGTGGAGGACCCAAGGACTCAAATGTCCTCAAAACTCATGG